AAAAAAGCAAGCCCAGAACAGTTGCATTGGTACCACATGAGCAAATTCTAGCTTGGCATTATACATATATACAAAGTGCATGAGGCATGGATAAGAAACACAAACATGGTCTCTCAGCTTTTCATTTTTCTATGGGAACAAGATATATTTTCAGTCTTTTATCTTTATTAAAGAAAAATGCAGTGCAAGTGTGATGCTGACTTGTTACTTACACTGCCTCTGTGAAGAGCAGGCAATGGAGAGAGGTGGGTGTGCCATCCAGGCTGAAGGCATACCTCCCATGTAATGGGATTCAGCTTGAAGCGCTTGTAGACTTTTAGAAATATTAACAATGCTTTGTCAAGATACAGTGGAAATTCAGCTTTCATGTGATATTGCTTATCAATATTCTTCAATTTTTATAAAACACTGTGATTAAATAAAAGTGTTTTAATCTCTATAACAGGCAATAATATCAACCATAGTATATTAAAGAGAAACTTAGAGAAAATCTAGCTCTTTCCATTTCCACTTTTCCATTTCACAGATTAAAGAAACTAAAATCCAAAGAAATGTCATAAAAATCATGCAGAAATTATGAGCAGGACAGGTCCTGATGACCAATTCATAAACTTGAGCTTTTCCTACCATATTGTTCATTCAATAAATATTTATTGAGAACCTACCCTACCCCAGGTACTGTGTCAGATTCTGCACATATCAAATAAGTAGGACCCTGACTAGTGGGGGAAATGAAAGGAAAATAACACTGAGTAGATAGAGAGTGGGAGAAAAATAGCAACCACCTAAGAGGCTATTACAATAGTAATATCCCTGGGGTTAAGAGTCTCCCAAGTCAGGGATATTGAAGGATTGCACTAAGGTAAGTACATTTGAGTGGGAAGACTCCTAGTGAGGATTGCTTTCAGAAATATTTAGAATTCCTTGGCAATTAGGGCCCCCCTGGAGGAGTAGGGATTAAAAAGTTTCAGTGCTATCAAGATATCACCAGCCACTAAGGCATGAGTTTGATCCCAGCCAGGGAGCTCATCCACATAGCACAACAAACCTTTCCTGTCTTGCCTGCTGCTCCCTTCAACAGTGTATTTCAGTAGATGTGCCTGTTCTGCTCTCCACTCTGTCTCTGGTGAGTCTTCTTACCCCCTTTACGGCTGGCCTACACCCCAGTTCTTGTATGCATAGATAAAATCAATCTAAAAATAATTCTTTGGCAATTAATTAGATAAGGAAAATGAAAAAAATGATGTTTAAGAACACTCAAAACTGAGCTAAACATGATTTGGCTGTTATCTAAGCTGGTTAATGGAGGAGTTTACTGGAGGAGATGACGAAATGAGGAAGGAAACTGACAATAATTATATTTGAATAAATTATACTTATAGTACTAAGGATGTGAAATCTATTCGGAGATATCCAGCATCCTACAGGTACTTGAAGATGCAGTTGCATTTCAGGTTGAAGTTATGGAACAGATGAGCTCACTAACTCATCAGAGGATAGGATGTCCCAGACATCCTGTGTCAAAGGAAGGAAAGATACAGGTCTCCCGGTGGCACAAGGGTTAAAGTCTTACACTATAAAGCTATTGCCAGGCCTGCCACATGAGGTTGATACCTGGCCAAGATAGTGACCTACATGGGGCAGCATACCTCTCTGGTCTCACTTACTGTTCCCTTCAGTGTATTTCAGGTGATTCTCCTATTTGTTCTGCTCCCCACTCTCTCTCTGGTAAATCCTCTCACCCCCTTGCACCTCTGGCCTACACTCCAATTATTGTATGCATAAATAAATAAATACATAACCTTGAAAAAATAAGAGAGGAAGGCAGAGGCAGGGAACTGAAAAGAAGTAACCAGACATATAGGATATAAGCTAACAAAAAGGTGGATGAACAATGAAGCAGAACATAAAAACAAACAAACAAACAAAAAAAAAAAAAAACCAGAAGACTATAATATCCCTGTTACAGAAAATTCAAGGGAATGAAGAACTAGAAGAACTAAAAGTTGTGCATTAAAGGAGTTGGTGAACTTTGGAAGAGGCATTTGAATCATTCAAAGAATTTTCTTGCAAAGGACTCACATCTGCCTCAGGACTGGTGCACTCTGCAGAAATCCTTCCACCTTCCCTTTGAAAGCACCCTGGGCTGTGGGAGAGGAAAGCACAGGACTGTGGAAGAGGAAACTGTGGTAAAGTGGCTTCTCTGGGTGATCTTGGTACCAACTAAGCTAGAGCAAAGTTCAGCTGTCTGATTCCTCCTGGTCTCATTCCAATTTCCCAAGTTTTAAAATATGCTAGGGGTTGATTCCTTTCATGTTTTTTGAAAACCTTAGCATTAGATTTCACCCAAATGGAAATGGAAAAAAAAAAAAAAACTAGCTATACTTTAAGTACTGCTGCAAAACTCAGAAGCACAGTGGATAAATGAATTCCACATTTCCTGATATTTATAGTCCCCCAACATGGCATCTGCTGCTACTGAGTAAAATTCAGACAGGTGTCTTGAACCCAGTAAGGCTAAGAAATTTTGCCAATTTGAACAGTGATGATTTCACTTCTCTCAAAATATTTTACCCTTATGAGAGTTACCTATGTGCAAACATAAGTACATGTAATTTGGATGTTTCAAAGCTAGTAATTGTGAGAATTTGTGTCTTTTTATAAAGACTTTGAAAGGCACACTGAAAGAAGTCATTGGCTGGAAATTATCCACACCCTTGAGGTGGCCTTATTAATTTAAGTGCCACCCAGTTAACCTCTGCCATGTAGGCTGAGGCACTTTACACTGCTCTATCTCCAGTGTCTGGAGTAGCAAAATCTGTGAATGGAAGAAGAAAATTGCCTTTTCATCTATTATTCTAACTAAAATTATTTTAAAATAATATTCATATAATCCTGTGAAAAAGCCGAAGAAGAGGCACAAAGAAAAAAATGGAGCAACAAGGAATTAATTGATAAGTCAGAGGTGCACCTGTTGACTTGGAAAAAGTTTTTGATTTGAGGAAACTATTGCCTGTATGAAGAAATCTGTCCTAAGTTAAGTTAATAATTAATTGGATTATTAATAATTCAGTTAAATTACAAATATTTATCAGTTTTCGCTGTTGTCTTATTTTTGAGCATGCTCCATGTCTCTCTGTAGTTTGCTTATTTCATTCTAAAGCCACACTAGTGCTAATATATGCCAAACAGCTCTGACTTTTAAACATGGAGGTAATAAAAAGGCATCCCATAGAAATTTTAGATGGACATTTACAGCAATATGAGTTTCATGCCAGCTTGTAATTTTAAATTTTGTTCCTTTGTGCCCTTTTCTCTCTGGGTCTCATTATCTGCACCCCAATCCATTGCCACAGTCTCCTCATTGGCATGTGCATCCCCAGCTCTAAATAACTGTGTTACCATCACAACCACTATAAGTCATCGTTTCAGACTTCATGCAACCCCCATGATTACAGAGTGCCCCAAATGGACTCCTTAAAAATTAGACAGTGCTGGCCCTTCCTGGTGGTGCAACGGGTTAGGACGCACCACTGCAAGCTAGCTGCAGCTGTTTCAGTGACACTTCGATCCCTGGCCCAGGTGGTGATCCACAGTCACAGCAGACCTCTCCTGTCTTGCCCACTGCTCCCCTCAGCAGTGTACTTCATTGATCTGCCTATTCTGCTCCCCACTCTGTTTTTGTTGATTCCTCTCATGGTCTCCACACCTCTGACCTGTACTCCAGTTCTGTACACAAAAATAAATAAACAATGAAGGCTGAACAGGGTGAGGGGTTTTGTAGGTTGAGGAATAAGAGAAGGGATCTATGAAAAAATACACAGGAAAGGAAACATGTTAGAAAATGTTCTTGAAGATTCAAAGCATCTTTTAGTAAATTAAAGGCTCTTAGACATGGTTCAGTAAAGAAACAAGTGTAGCTTTCTTTCACCCAGTCTTGCTTGAAGGTATTTGACCTTTGAAATTTTTATACTTAATGGCAATAAAGGCAGTTATGCATTCTGGAAGACAGTGCTCTCAAAAAGTCTCAAGCCCTTTATCAAAGCATATAGTGTGATTCTATGTCTAGTTTATTCAAGACAGTTCATTTTATGCATTGCTCCAGCCTCCTGTTTTCTGAGCAACTTTCCTTCCACCTCCATAGTCATTTTCAAATGTTCAAAGGAAGCATTATATGGTCACCTTATATATACACGGACCTCCATGATATGGAACCTGTCATTTCCTGCTTCAGAATTTATGCTTTAGACTATGCTGACTGAAAGAA